CCTCTGTCTCTCTCTCTGTCTGTCTGTCTGTCTGTCTCTCTCTCTCTCTCTCTCTCTCTCTCTCTCTCCCTCTCTCTCTGTCTGTCTGTCTCTCTCTCTCTCTTTCTCTTTTCCCTGCCTCTCTTTGTCTCTGTCATACTTATAAAGAGTGTCAGAGTGAGATACATAATAAAAGTGCATCAACAGCAGCAAAATCAACAACAACAGTAAAAACATCAAAGACTTCGACATCAACAAAAGCATCATTTGCACAAGTCGGAACGCAAATACTTGTTTTCTTAGCTTTCTCCTTTCATATCTAATTGCTGCATCAATAGCAACCATTGAAATTTTTCGAAACCCCCCCCCCGTCCAAATCCTTTACAAACATGTATGTCGCCTTTGCACAGAGAGCAAATTTTAAGAATGATCACAATGGGAAACCTTTCTACTTGAAAATCTGTCTCCACCTTTGTCTAATCAAGGTGACTCGTCTCAATTTCCCAAGGTGACATCAATGCTCCGACATAAAGTTCATGATCAGATAACGCAACACGATATAGGGTATGTCGCAATCTCGAAGTCTGCGGAACGTTTCTTTTCATATCACCCCCACGATTGTCGTGCATGTTTTGACGTACCTGATCATGACTCTACAGAATAACGTTTTCGTTTGAAAAATAAGCCTGCTGAGTTCTCTTTTACAATGTATCATAAAGGGGTATCATATTTCAGGAATGTTACAAAACAACTAATTAGTTAAAATACGAGGAAAAAGACACTCACAAAGAAGAAACGTTCAGTTTCACTTACACTTCTTTGGAAAACGTTATTGTACTTCCTATTCTACACACGTTTAGACGTGACAAGAGTTTTGCTTACACTTGTATTGAAAAGGATTATGGACACTTCTTTATTTACCAACAAATATATCATATTATAAGCCACTCACATTATTGAAATACCCGCCCCCCCTCGGGAACGGTGCTACTGACTGAAGTGTCTTTAGGTCGTTCCCGAAGGGGGGATATTAACCTGTTCTTATGCACATTACAATTTAAATGGGCTGATTCATCGATGTCATGCTCATAATTGTGCCTGAACTGCAACTGGGAACTGCTGCTTTTTCTTTCCAAATCCAAACTGACGTCAGTTTTCCTCTACTTCTTTTGTATGTTTGTCACACTCTTGTTACCCGCTATTTCCATGGTGCCTTGATAGTCGAAGCAGACTTTGTGCTGTTGAAGCTAGAGAGGTGAACAGAGTAAGGCTGATTCCCTGTAAGGACTTCTTTGTTGACATCCCCCACTTGGCACTCATATGACCCTATGCACTTGCAAGCGCCGGAAAACCTCTACTAAAGCAAAAAACATTATTGAAACGTTGATATTTCTAAAAATAAAACTTGAAAGCCCAATGGCGGAGACTGTTTTCTGCAAATCAAGATTTTGCTTCAGGTTGGGGGGGG